TAGAAGTTCAATATCTTTTCTCTTCAAAAATTCACTTCCATTTCAATTGTTTCCATAAACAATCCCTAACAGTTAACTGCCTAGGATGTTAATGGAAAAAAGAAAAAGCAAAAAATCTACATGACTTCATATAGGTATCTGAGTGGATATTTATAGAAATATTTTGCAGCAACCGCTAGCCTGTGACAAATTAATCCATGAAATATAAAAAATGAGTACTTGTTTTATTTCTAAATATTAATTTTGCCCATCCCCATACTGCACTTAGAAATATGAATTAAATATGAGGAATTTTCCCCCTTATATTGTCTTGTACAACGGTTCGTACAGGTTCAATGATTCACCCCAGAATAATATAAGGGACTCTAAAGTGAATTATAGAAATATGATCATTAGGATCCACTTTAAATTGGAGTATAACTTTACCATTTAGAGCAGAATATTAAATGCTTTATCTACAGGCTTCTTGCAGGTTTTGTATAAGTATCAGCTGGCACAAACAGTACAGGAAAAAATCATAGAAACAGATTGTTATAGACTATTTTTTTTTTGATTTATATGGACTCATTTATGGAAGGCTATGAGATTTTTTTTTTTCTTTTTTTCCTTTTTCAAATTACATCCCAGCATTCTTGTAGGGAGAATTCAGATTCCTTTCCTGATTAGATCTGCAAAGTAGGAGAAATATTTTATATAAATATAAGTAGTTCAGCTAATTTAATTCCTATCAACTCCCTTTATGAGGCTTTTTTGCTGATCTTATCTGATCTGTTCCTGCCCTTCTACAGTAACGCAGGACAGTACTCTATTTTTCACTTTGATTTGTGTTTGTGGAAAGATCAGCAGATTTTTTTTTCTGAGCGAGAAGGCAGTTTGCTATACAAATGCCTCCAAATACACAGTAAAATGAAAACTATTGAAGTAAAACTTGCCATAAGGATTCAACTCATCCTATTTGCCTCTAAATTCAACTTATATGTAGAATTAGCTAATGCTTCTTTACCGTCAGTTTGTCCAGTAGTTATGGCGTGGACTGCCTGTTGAACAGAGCTCTCTGCGCTATGTAGAGCAAACGGCTGCCTTCAGCTAAGCCTGCTTTATGGTATCAAAGATCATTTCCCATGTGTGGGTACATATGTCTGGCCTACATCTAGCAGAATGAGACCGGATACAGAAATCCCTTGGACTTGGCTCCCCAGAAAGGAAACTAAAGTAGGTGTACCTTAGAGAATTAAAAGCTTGTTTTATTCTGTATCTCATCTGAATAACCAGGGTACTGCTACCCTAGGATGTATTATAGAAAACTCTGGCAGATAAGGAAAAATGCGGCTTTTAAAGACTTACTCCCTTCAGCTTGATACTCATGTTCACAATTATGAAGGTAAATGCAGAGTGACTAGACACAACACAGGTGTTTCCTCTATGAGGAAGTGAAGTGAAGTAACTAGATGATAAAAATATTAAAGCAAATGACAGTTATTTTTACTATACCATAACCAGCACTATCCGAAATTTAATAGTAAGATCAAGCACAGACTTAAATCCGTAGTCTGTAATCGTTAGTCCTTCTATCTGAGCTGATCAATGTAAAAATATAAAGTCTATGGCACCCAACTGGTTTCTTCCAAGTCAGCTCCATAAGAAGAAGAGATATGAGTGCATACACACCTATATAGCGGTCATAGCTTATTGAAGCTGTATGACTTGCCTCGTTGGCCTGAAATAAATTTGCTACTCTGGTAAATCAGATTCAAGCTTTGTCTTCTTCTATTAAAATGCAAAGTAAGTTTTGAGGAAGTAGCAATATAACAAATTTTTTGCCAGATTCATATTTTGTTGTGATTCACAGTTGTATACAAAGATTAAAGTGTCCCTTGAAATTTTTCCCAGTGACAAGATAAATGATTCCTTTTTACGTTTTCCTCCAATATTGTCACTTCCTACTTGAAGAAGTGTTCTGCTTCTATCACTGTATGCTCTGGTGTTTGCTTTCCTCTTAGCAGAAGAATAATCTCATCCTTAAGAAAATTACTTGCAAATTTTCCCCATTTGTTTTATAAATCTTCTTTAACACTGCAACCAAAAGTTCACATGTATTTTGGGGGCAACTTCAAGAGCCAATGATCAGGTCACTTCCCCCTAAAGCTACACACAGAAAATAGTTATTTTTTTTCTTTCCTTTTAGTACCACAGTTTGGTGGCTTTAACATTTTCATTAGCTCCAAAATAGAAGAACTCTTTTACACATGAAGCTAATCTGAACTAGAAAGATAAAGCCATCACTCACTATATATGAAGTTACAAAGATCATTGTCCACAGGAGCTGCTGTGCTTTTAGTGTTTAAGAATGTACGAAATAAAAAAGGGAGATGAAATATTCTTTTATTTAGCACCCTACCGTTACTCACAAATGTATGTAATAACAGAACTTAAACAGCAGTCTAACAGTCTACTGTATAATAACTGCTGTTCAAAATTCCCTTATATCCCCAGAAGGTAAGCACTATATCACACATTTGCACATAACTGTCCTTGCGAATGAACCTTTGATATTCAGTACTGTTTCTCCCATTAAAACAAAATCCCAAGTTTTACAGCACCCACAAATGGCCTTTGAGTTGCAATCCAGCCTGCTTCATTCAATCTTTCTGAGCAAATTTAAAAATAACTTACTGCATGTCACCTGATATTTAGGAATGTGCCGTTGCATTGAGTTAAGGATGGATCCTAAGATTAGGATCTCTAATTCAGGACATTCCTCTAGAAAATTCGTAAGGTAAAACACAACTCCATTCTTTGAAGCTTCTAAAATATAAAAAATGGCGACAGTCAGAAATCAGATTATTAAAGATGGTGACGTGATTCCAGAAAGCATTAAACAATGGAAAGAACTAGAGGATGCGGGATATGAAAAGTCAGAAAGAACGACTGGGGCCCTAATCAAAGGACAAGCTGACCTATCAGCATGGAGCATAAGGAACCAGGCACATCATAAGGCAGCCATGTAGAAGAGGGAGGCTGAAAGGAGAGGAGGATTTTGAAAAGTGAGAGCTCGAAATGAAATTGTGGGAGAAGAGAAAGCAGAAGAGATTGTGATAGCAGGTCATGGGAATAAATGAAGGGACTGAAATTTGAGTGAGACATATGCAGGTAAACTGTAATTATGAAAACTGAAATTTGGCCTGGTTTTCTACACTATTTTGAGTGTTATCCGTAGAGAAACATGTCACAAGTTCCACAAGAGAAGAGCCTCCTCTTGTGCGTATGACAGCACGGTCTGCTTCTGTTGGGCAGCGGATTAAAAATTGCAGACTCAAAACCTAATAGCTAAAAAAGAACTCTTCTTTGCTCCAGAACAAAAACAAATAAAGTATCATCTCAGTTTATCCACATTAAAGTCCTTTCTGCTGTGGTTTTTGGAAGGTGCATTGCAAGGTCAGTGCAATCAGTATTCTCTCATATGTACCATCAAAGTTTATTTTTAATTTGGGACTAGTAAATAAAGCTTTAATGGGATTTTAATGGCATGTTGGACAGACTTCGGTGTCCAGAGATGTGGCATCATATCCAGGAGTGTCATTATCTGGATTAATTATCAATAGCAGGCAGATATCATTAGAGAGATGTGAAAATGAGAGATGCAGTAAATGAAATTTACTGGCCAGAGATGCTGATAAATAAATAAATAAATAAATAACATCTGGGAAGTCACCAATGGGTACTTCAAAACCTTTTCCAGTTTGATATTTTCCATTACAGCTGCCACTTCTGCTTTTTTAACTTGAAACCATAAAAAGTCATCTCTGCATTAGGTCTACCAGCAGACATTGTATAACACAACAAATGCCTCTTGCTGATAATAAGTTTTTAACAAGTGATAGTTAATGCTTTAGTTAAGACACTAAATGCTTAATGTTAAGATATGACTGATAAATCATGTTACAAATGTGATCTATCATGACTGACATAATGTATCATAAATATGACCTAAACAGGAAAAAAGGATAGTTGCATTGAAGTAAATTATATGCACCTCAATGCTTTGTCTGCACTTACAAACAATATTTTTTGTAAATTATTTTCTAATCAACATGGTAAACGTTATTTTAAAGTGAATAAGAATGTTTGTATTCTAGACTTTTAGATAATCTTGCATTTATAAAAAATGCTTAAGTGGTCAAAATTTAACAACATTTATTTTAATACAGGCAAAGACATTTTTAGGAGGGAAAGGAAGGTAGGCTATCATCCCAGTAAGACAGTAAGATCTATCTTGGGAAACAAAGATATATTGGAATAGGACTTAGGGCTTATCTAGCTACTTGTCTCCATGTGATATTTCAGTACATGGCTGTAATAAAAAGAAAAATCTAATGAAAAATCAAACACTGCACGTATCTGCACAGACATGCACACAGATGCAAAGCCAATGCAATCTAGGGACATTTTTAGAAGAGAATATTAAGTAGACATAAAAAATTGGTATTGTATTTAAACATTAAATATGCAATCCCTGCTTTCAAGTCTATTTTTTTGTGTCCCAAACCTAAGTATAATGTTTAATTATAAAGCCATGTCTCTGCTTATTCTCCTGTCTGTCTGGAAAAGTACTGCAGATCTACCTATAACAAGAGTTTCACTGGTGGGTCTCTGTACAATGAAATAACAATAATTCTCTAAAAGAAAATTTCTTTCCCTTCTGCAGTGTATATCCTACTCTGGAAGAAATATGATAAATTGTTCCTTAAATAAACAGGACAAGTTCAGTGCTGCAGATCACAGGAAGGTATGCCAAGAAGGTTAAACGTATGCCCAACTAGCAATATGCTCTGAGTTTGAAAAGCCTTCTCAAGAACACATCAATCAGTACTTTGCTCCCTGCTTTCCACAACTTTTCAGTTTTAGTTTTGACTCTGTTAGTACAAGGCTGTTGAAGATACTCAAGGCCAGGACTAGCTCATCAAGTAGCAAAGGTGTAGAATTAATTAAATTGCTCTTACCTGCGTGTAGTAAAGGTGAATAAATGAGTTAGGTAAGCTAGAGGTGCTTCTGAGTTAAAATAAAATAACGGTTTATCACTATGCATCTCTCTTCCCTCCAGAAGCTTAAAGTGGCTGTATTAATGCTAGGCTAAATCCAGAGTGAGAATATATTTCCAGTTCTGGATTGGCTAATCAAGCCTTATATACCAGTGTAAGCTCCCAGATACTAAAAACTGACAAAATCAACAGAACCTCAGACTTGAACAGAAAAGCAGATTTGATTTTTTACTATGAACAGTTCCTATCTTTATAATGATCTGAAATAGCATAGCAGATTTGCAGACTCTCAAAGTGCTATGAGTTTGACATCTGTTCTCCTTTCTTATTACCAAATATCCTTTTAAGGATCTGGCCCATTTACTGTCTAGCAAAAGAAAAGAGAAAAGTTCTATAAATAAACTCGGTGGCTTATTTCCCCTTTGTTGAGAGATGAAGACAGTTGACCTCCCAAGGATTTCATATAAATGCTGATTTTATCTAGCAGCAGGCCCTTGACCTTGGTGAGGCTGACAATTACTCTGATCAAATGGGTGAAAGGTTCAGAGATGAAACGGGATTTCGTCCAGCAGAGATCAATAGGTCATCAGAAAAGAGACATCAAAACCAGCATGCACTATGCTAAGGAAGTTTTGAATTTAGATGAAAAGGAAGTTTAGAGAAAAAATTAAACAATTTAATTCAGTAAAATGAGGAACTTTGCCCTTTTGCCTGCCCAGTTATGTCTGAGTATTTGATATTCTACCTTTCTAACTTTAATTTTAATTATAAATGAAAAGATGTCATCAAGTGACAATAATGTTAACAATAATTGTACACATCCACGAATGCTCTTTTTTTTTTAAATCCAATCCAATCTTTCTACCTATATTGTTTGTCAGATTTACTTTGTGGGAAATTAGTGAATTAGTATGTGTTTTCATATTCTCTTTTTCAGCATCCAATTACCAATATGTTTCAGTATAATGTTACGCTGTTCACGCTGTGGATACCTAAGAGAAACTTGTGAATTAAAAATCATTTACCTTGGAAACTTAGAAAAACAATTTTGGAAATATGGCAATGAATTCCAGTTTTCATTGTACCCCATTTTTATGCAGCTTAAATATTAGAGCTGTATTAGCCAGAGTGCCCTTAAATTATAGCATTGTCCTATCATTTGCACCAGCCAATCCGAAATTTCTTTTACTTAAGATCACTAAAGGATGATTATTAACAGAAGCACTTTCATGATGCATTTTAGCCCATCAAGTTTATCATGTCTACAATACCCTTGAGTCTACCACAGAAGGGAGAGGTGAGAATATTCCTATAGGACAAACTGAATAACGTCGTCCTCTCTACATTTATTTACCTTACTCAGTAAAGGAAACATTTTTCAAACCACATGTACACTGATAGTCCAAAGAAGTTTACAAAAAAAAAACCAGACTGACTGTGAGGAAATAATGGAAAGCGATCAGGTTTGTGCATATGTTCTGCTTGTTGCTCCTCCTTGCAGCTCCCATCAATTGAAATTAAAGGCTTAGCCACCGTGTTGTCCGTTTTCGACCTTATCTTCCAGCTACAGCATGTTCCTTCAGTAGCAGCATTTCCATGGGCTGTACACTGCAAACGAAGGCAACGTCAAGCTGCCCACATCTGTATATGGTCGTTGCATTAGATTAGAAAGGTTTAATTCTAGACAAACTGGAAAATCTTCATCCCCTCATGTCTTATTGACGTTTCAATGCCCATAAAAATATCTGTCCTATTTTGCTGTTTTATTTGCCTGCACATTCTCTGGTGGCACAGCTGGCCCTGGATATGTGTGTATGAGAGAAGTCAGTGATGCAGCTGACAGCTTTTAATGAGTGAGAGAGGAAAACGATTCTAAGGACTTAAAGAAAAAATGTAAACACAGCAGAATATATGCTGAACTCAAAACATATGTCACGCAACAAATGGGAAGTGGCAAGTCCTTTAACTTTCCACACTTCACAATGATCTTCAAGATCAATCCAGTAAGAACATTTATGTTGAAAAATACCTTGAAACAGCAGAGCAGAGATAAGAATATAAGTTTGTATCAAGCAACTTAGCGATTTAGAGCTGATTAGCTGGGAATCTGGAATCATAGTTGAGTAAACGTATACCTGCACCCACTGGGCATAGCTTCACTTGTAAACTCTGTGCTTATTTTTTCCATGTTTGTGGAGACAAGTTGACAGTGCTCCATTGCCCCCATCCACACGTAAGAATTACAGAGCTATAGCATGAGTCACTGATAGCAAATATAGCTTTTCTGACTTAGTAAATTTCAACCTCTTATATGTCCTTGGCTCATAATGTCTGTTGTGTCTGTGATTTGCAACCTTAAGCCTTTCTCTAACTTTTTTGGTGAATAAGTGAGGCACGAGCAAGTTTTATGATAAATATAAAGCCACACTGATGGTATAAAACCACACTCCAAAACAGCTGATCAGTCATGCTCAAATCACAGACCTTGAATCTGCAGTCTGGATTTTTCCACTCCTTTTCTTTCAGGTCTTCAACCTTGAGAAACATCCCAGAAACCAAGATTCACTGGAGGTGCTGTAAAACGCATACAAACAAGAAAAGAATGATGGCCCATGCTCACACCAGACATGCCCTGAATGTTTTAGAGATCACATCCATCTACATTTTTCTTTTTACCAGGTCATCTTCAGAGCACATCAGAAACTGACACATTCAGATCATTCCATCTCCGCTCTGGCAGCACAGTTCTGATGTACGTTAAGCAGAGTTTCAGGAACAGCAGGTAATTTTCATTATCCGTGGACAATCGGAATCTATGGCTAATTCATTACTGGCTCCCCTGCTCATTACTGGTCCAGAAGACTACCTGATACAACTCCATCAGCACTGTGATATGCTTTGAGAAAAGAACTGTGTAGAACTATCTGCAGGTTTCTCTCTCTATGGGTTTTTGGTTTTTTGATTTATAATGATCTTGTCGTACACGTAACGGGTCTGATGCTCATCTACTTTTGTAAAAGGCTATTTGCAAGACTATAAACTTAATTTATTGAAATATAATTAGCACCACTATTAATTTTTACCATGCTTAGTGTCATCAGTTTTAATTCTGCAAACTCCATTTATAATGAACAGAACAACATTGTCAGACATTAGTATTCATTTATACACTGTTCTCTCCTACTGTAAATTATACAGTAGGGTCCTGAATGCTGAGAGAGAGAAAGAGCAAAGATTATTTCAAATATACATATATGTATGTCCTTGATCTTATTCAGCTCATTTACTTTAGCTAAGCCTGCCAATTTCAAGACCTTAAAGTTGAAGTCTGCTTAAATACAGACTGAATGCAGTGGGTACCGCGGCAGTTCAGGCCTGCCTCTCCAATTAGCGTCTCACAGCCTGACTGGAGGGATCACTCTGTTAATGCAGGCATCCCCTATGGCCCTTCCAAAGCATCTCTAACCATTCCTATTAGTCTGTGCAAGTTTCCCCCAAGTGGAAATGGTGAAGAAGCTCTCTCAGGTGAAACTTTTAAAGACTAGCAGTTAGACAGTGCAGTTAGACTTATTACTATAACCTAGCAATAAGTTATCCTGTGACACTGCATAGATCATTTGTCTGCAAAGTCCGTTATATCTGACTTTTTAATTCTTTCGTAGTATCCAAAGACCAATCAAAAAGCCTTTTTTATTTTTATTTTCTGAATGCTTCAGGGAAGGAATGGATTTATTTTCAAGGGTAGATCAGTTTTATTTCAGAATGGATTCATTTATGAAGTTGAAAAAATAGTCTTCTTTTTACAGGAAGGAATTGAGGTACAGGGAGCCTAAGATCCAGATCCACTGGATCCACTGAATCTACTTGCTTGATCTCTACCATGGAATTCAGAGCTAGTTCTTAAGTACAGTGTACAGTCAGAGTTTAAATTCTCACTACGGGAGTCGCAAGAAAAACAAAACAAACAAGCATGTGAGTAGGTAGCAGCCTAAAGGGGAATTAATGAGACAAGGCAAAGTCTTCAGTATCTGAAATCCCATGCAAACACTGCTGACACTTCACTGTAATAATTCACAGGAAGAGCTAGATTGCATATTCTTCACCTGAGGAGCAACTGAGGAGCCAACGAATTTTATAGACTATCCAACTAGACAATCTATGAGCAGGTGTTTTAAAGATTATGATTCTGTGATTAGGTCTCAAAATTTAGCCAAGTTTTTTCCTAGACCTAGGCTTGATGAACTTTTCAAGGTCACACAGGAGGGTTAGATTCCACACTTTACACCTTTTAAGCTGTGAACGATCCCCCCTTTACATGAACAGGTTAAAAAGAGAAACCTAAGAGATAACTGCTTAGTAAATTGGATATCGCAGTTCCTGCAGCCAGGGGAAGTGCTCTCCTTGGTAATACGGATACTGCATAGGAGGAAGTGATAAAGTGAGAGGCTCTGATTATGAAAACTTTGGTAAAGATCTATAGTGTACTCTTCCCATGTGCGTTTTTAACTTCCAGAGTTCTCTCTCACGTGGTCAGGTTGCCATTATTTGCAAAAATCTTCTCCCTTGCTGTTTCTGACATCTGGAATTATGTTCCTCTACTTCCGTTCCTCACTAACACTTCATCCATTTTCCAAATTTCTGCTGGTGAAATCTTTTCTCCATTACTTTTTCTTTCCTCTGTATGCCACTTTTTTCTATGACAATTAAGGCAAATGTTTAGTCAGGTCTTTCTCTGGCTTCCATGGAAATGTGTACAAAGCTGCATTTATTCATTTACCTGCACATGAAAATATATGCAGCAAATCATTGTGTCAATTAAAAAGAAAAAGCCTAAGGAGTTTTCTGTGCTCAGATAACAACTCTTTCATGCATGCTTTCTCATATTAAATATGTACATAAGTATTGACATATATATATGAATAGACACTTGGAAAGTCAAAACTGAAAGCTGTGTTGTCACCAAAGTGCGCACAAGTAATCAGCCATTTAAGAAGGCTAAAGAAGTGTTTATACATCCCAAAATATATCTACAGCTTGTAGTTGTTGTTAATTACTAATACAGGGAGCAGAGATTTG